TCCTGTAAAAAGAACGTCCCACCCTCTCACCCCCTGACACTCGGGCCTGCCACAGCCGCATCCCCAAAGCCAGTGTAGGCAGTGACCTGCGCGGTGCCTCACTGCCCTCTCTGAGGGGACGTGGCCTGGCAGAGGATGGGAAAGCCCTTTAACTCCCCTACCCTCCTGACCTACCCTACTGAACAAAACCCCATCAGATAAGTTACTTTTAATAGTCTTCCTGCTCTGAAACATCTGAAGGTTTGCAACTGTGTTGCTGGAATATGTCACCTCCTCGGAACCCTTTGGGAAGGCTGCACCAGAGCAGGATTCACAGTGGTGATAGAAGTGTGTATAATCTTCAGAGGAAACTGCTCAGATTGCTTCTGCTGCTTGCCAGGGAATGGGCGCTACCGCTGCCCTCTCTCAGATCATTTTGTATTTGCCGTGCCTTGGACTGAAGCAGTGAGCCAGGTGCAGACCCAGCCCCTCTTTGCTAAGTGCAAAGGGGTGAAAGTGTGATCTGCTCCCAGGAGATAGCGATCTGAGGGGAACTTTGAGGTGCAATTAAACTGTTTGTTGCGAAGATTTGATCCAGTTCTTGTCTTGCAAAAAATAACAAGAGAGGGTTGTTAACCAGCATGTGGGAAATTTTGACTTTGGCATGCAGTGCGTTTTTATCTGTCAGTCATGCTGAAAGATTGCTTTCCATGCCATGCAGAGAAGTGGCACAAACCTCTCTGTTCAGATGCTTCTGTTCCAGCAGAAATGTGGCTTTCCCAGCCCAAAAATGGGAGGGTGCCTGGCATTTTTGTAGTGGGAATTGTTTATTGGGATCAGTGCAGGCTCTCACATGGATACTAAAGTGAATTAACCCCTTCACCAGTGCAGATGGTCTGGTCATGTTGCATAGGTTGCATACCCATGTGCACACAAAAACACACGGGCAAAAAAGAAAGTCAGAAAAGATTACTGTCAAAGGTTACTGCTACATCTGTGATGGTCAGAGCTTGTCCAGACGGAAACTGCAAGCAGCAGGATGAGGTAAACTCACCAAGTAAGTTCTTTGCTACAAGGATTTAGACTAGCTCCTGTCCTGCAGCGGGGAGGCACTTGCTATAGAATTCAGTAATGTCAGAATGTGGCAAGGAGTCTCCTGTTGCCTTTTGTAGGTGCTGCAGGACACGCTTGGGGGATTCCTTCAGAATGAGGACATGGTGCAAGACAGAAATGTCTCCCTGTGAGCTGTTATAATTCCTGCAGCTCCTGAGACCGTTACAGAAATGCTGGCCCATTTCAAATGAGACACACTTGTTTGCTCCATTGTCCCTGCCAGATCCCTGTACAGGAGTCGTGTTGGCCCAACTTCATCACGTGCAATTTTAGACACCTCTCCCAGGCATTTGTAGATAGACCTTTCAGTGAGTGTGCTCCTGACTTGGGGCTCTTACCTCAATGCAAGGGCTGAAGAAGTGGTGAAGCCAGATTCTTCTGTCCCCCTGGGCCCTCTTGCCCCTTGATATCTGAAATTAGACAGGTTGGCAACAGGAGGAGCGCATCTTCAGGGCATGCTCCTGTATGGATGCTCCCCCAGCTGCTGGGATGGGAGAGGTGATCCACAAGGCTGTGTCAAACCAGAAGCAGACCAAGACGGGCTCCTGGCTCCTGTGCCCACAGGAAGGCAGAGCTGGCCTTTAGCTTACACAGTGGCTGCTGCAGTGTGCTTGTTTTAGAATACTCTGGAAATGTTGCATTTATTTGTATTTCTCCACCCAGCTGCTGTTCAGGGAGCAGTAGTGGGACTGCCCATAGCTCCTTTCCCTTGCTCCCAAGGGGCTGTAGCAGGGTACGAGGAAGGGTGATGTTAGAGAGACGATGAAGTAGACCATTGTGCCTTGACATACCTATGGCCTATTGGTGTTTGTATGCTCCCTCTGACTGCAACACTGGGCTCAGGAATTGTCCTGTAAAGAGACAGGACATCACAGCAAGGTCTCAAAGCCTTCAGCTGTTCTGCTTTTGGCACTGCCATTATGGGATAATGGGCATTTTGGGGTGGTGACAGCCTTTGGCCAAGAAGCAAGGAGTCAAAAAGTCCATTATGTGCCTGGCACAGATGCTTTGCTATAATTAATAATTTTTTTTCTGAGGCAGATTTCAGAAGCATCTGAAAAAGAATGTTTTGCAATCATGCACAGTAGGGAGCATGAATTTAAGCAGCAAGTTCTTCAGTTACTGTAAATCTGTAAAACGCCTCTGATGCAAGTGGAGCTACTCCAGTCTCTACAAGCTGCAAATCTGTCCCGTGCCTGGAGGAACATTCATGTAGCCATCATTAAATAGGCGAGATGTAGATACAGTCAGATTTAACGTAGATATCAATGAGGGCTTCCCTAGAAATGGAAACACTTAGATCTTTACCTAAAAGATCTCATCCTAAAATACAGATCTTAAGCAACAGATTTTGGTGTCTGTGTCTGAGAATGTTGTCCCATGTTCGACTGCTGTTTCTTGGTACTAGCCAGAAGAAATCTGGAAAGATTGAGTCCTAATGCTGGCACTGGATGCCTGCTAGCATTAGCAGAGGATGTGTGCATGTCTGAGGGCAGTTTTGCAAATGCAATTTCTTCTTCTAATTTTCTTTTTTTAGTATTAAAACCACCCAAAAGCCACCATGTGAATAGAGATAGGATGGAGTAATGTTTTGCCTGGAAGTATCTTGCTTAACATTTCTCAGATGAGCAGTCTCCTATAGCAAATTAAATTTAAAGTGAAAGCTGTTTCTAGATGGTGACAAACTGTTGCAAGCTTTCACTTATATTCTGTTGTGTGTTGATCTTCATAATGCTTTAAAATCTCTTTACTTGTGTCCTTTCTTCCAAGTACTGTGTGTTTGTAGCCTTAATCCTTCATTAGCTAAACCTCCTCCATTACCTACCCTTCACTGTCACCTATTAAAAAAAGAGAAGAGTAATAACCCTATTTTTCAGCCATTGCTTTGCTACATGATATAGAATAACACAACTAGGCAGAAATGACCCGATTCTGCATGACTTCCACGTGCGTAAATCTCATTGACGTCAATGGGAGCGTTACGTGCAAAAGGACTGCAGGGCGTAATTAAAAAGGACCCTTTTCTATCACAATGTGGAGAGAAAAATGTGGTTTCTACTTGGGTACAATGAAAAGCTGTAAATCATTAGAAACATTCCTGTCTCCTAAGAACCTGACATACTACTTTGCTGTTGAGACATGCTTGGGTGAATGATGAGTAACACACTGAGAAAAGTTCCTGAGTTGGGTTAATGCTTTTTACCAAGTCTGATCATGAAACAGGTTTGACAGGCTGGAAGAAGCCTGGTGGTGTGATAGAACAAAATGAGAGGATTTGCCTGATAGCAAGGCCCACCCAAATCCTTTTCGAACACTAGATTTGTCAATGGCTTTTTCCATTGTTAATAATGAGCGAGCAGTATTTAACTGTTGGAGGCCACCTTTTAGAAATTGGGAGCAAGTCCAAATCTGCTGGTGGTGAGCTGTGCCACTGCTGCGAGTGGTGAAGAATCGGGCCTGTTCTTGACCAGGTTGCTCAGCCTCTCTACTAACAAGTGGAAATGCATTTTACTATGAATGTAACGTTACGCATGTAATTGGCAACAGCTACCGCTTTATCACCTGGACACATGGGTTGGCTGCACACAAGTGTGCATGTTTCCACACGTGTGCACATACATGTAGGCAGGTATTGAAACAGGCGAAGACAAGCATCCCTTTTTTTCCATGGCATTTGTTGTTTATGCTAATCTTCTTGTTTTTAAATAGTCATCTACTATATTTCTCTTACCTGGTATTTTTTTTTTAAATGCTTGTTGCCTGCAACTGCTCTTCGTAGTATCCTGTCCAGGTGATCACCTCTCCCCTTCCTTCTTCTCTTGCTTTTTTTTCCTGTGTGCCCAAGTCAGTCCTGCTGATTTTCCCTTAGCATCCCTCCTCCTTCTGGACTCTGCCCCTGGTACATTTACTAACTGCTTACCTAGTGAAGTTGTGGTTTCACCTACTACTTCTACTGTGATTTAGCTGCTCTTCTCTTTCCTGTCTCTCCAAGTTGATACACTTGCAGGTGATTTGCAGCCAAGACCCCCTATTATTTATTGCATGCTTGATCTACATCTGGGCCCCTTTCTTTACTCCACTTGTCTTTAATGACTCCCTTATCCACAGGCCCTGCCGCCTGGTGCACTTCAACCTTTACCAAAGAGGCCAGCACTTGAAAAAAACAATGGTGCCACCACAGTCTTTAACCCAAGCGTTTTCCACTACCAACAGGCTCTAGCCAACATGCAGTTGCAACAGCCTACATTCATCCCTACAGGTAAGTGTCTCCTTGCTTTTCCCAGCATTGTAGTTGTCTTTTTTATGACCTAGGCGTTGAGCTAATGAGATTTGTAATAGTCCTTAGCAAAAGTGTATCAGTGTGTAGTCTCCTGTTAAAAATGGATGAAAAGTTAACGTTTGTTGTTTGACTTCTTTTTCCTTCACCTACTGCAATTCAGAGCTTTTCACTTGTAAAGATTCCTTCTTAGCCTTTTTTGTTTGGTTTTGGGGTTTTTTAAGCAGTCCAACTAAGAAAAATGTCTGCATGTTTCTTGAATTCATACTTTCTGTTTCTCCTCCTTATGGTTCAACTGGTTAATCCCAAATTAATTCTTTGACTCTTGCGTAGCACTCTACGGACTCATGTTAAAATGTCTTGTGGGCCTCTGTGCCTGCTCACTTGAGGCTGCAGGTATCTTTCTGAGCTTCTGTCTCAGTGACCTACATATTCCAGCAGCCATGATGTTTATAGAGGGAACGGTTTGTTTTTAGTAAATACAAATTACATAATCCTCTTTAAAGGCATATATTCCCTCCTGCTTGTCTTTTGACCAGTATGATAGCCTAAGCTTTTTAAAAGCAATTTAACTCCCAACTTTTATTGTACCTTTAAGGTCTCAGAGTAAAATTGAAAGATGCAGTTCAGTAATTCATATAGGACTCAAAATATTGATGTGGCAGATGCGACTGCTGACTAGCCAATTAACCTCTATTCACTGCAGCCAAATGAAAAACAAAACCTGCTTAGAGTAATAAGTATTATAAGTGCCTGAATTAGGAATATTCCAGAGTTGATAGCTCGTTTTTTAGTATCATTATTATCATTGCAGAGCATCATAACAAAACTAAGGCCCGACGTTTTTAATGTTTAATGCTGTATTCACTTGCCAGATGATATTTACAAAAATACACAAAGTGTTTCTCTGGGCTGGCCCCTCGAGGTGAACACGCAGTGGACCTGGACCTTGGCCTTGCCGTTCCTTGGGGTCATGGGAAAAGCTTTAGAGACAGTCCTATACTGAGACCAAACCGTCTCAGGTGTGAGCGTGGGTCCAGAGAGCTGGGACCTAAACCCTGTGCTCGCGTGGCCTTTCTGTTATGAGAGCACTTGGAGACACTCAGAACTCAGCAGCTGCCAAGATGTCTTCCAGGGAAGTAGAGTCTTGTACGGAGAGACGGAGGGAGGGACTCCAGTAGTAGCCTCCCCCTCTTGTGCTCTGCAAAGTGCTCTTGGAGGGGATGGGCTGAGCTGACCTTACCACAACTGTTAGGTGCCAAGCGAAGTACTTCTTCAAGAAACACTGACACCTTTGAGAATGCCAAGTCCCCCAGCTGGCTACACGCTCCTCTTCCTCAAGGTCGCAGTTGCCAAAGTTGACATAAGGACGTGCATTTCTGATGCAAGCACCATAAATCAGCTTTTACCCGCCACTTTCACTGTGCTGTTGTGCCCTGTCTCATGGCAATGAAATTACGCACAGGGCTGATGTGTAACAGGTCTATTTGCTGGCACCTGCTCTTGTCTGAGGACATTAATGCTGGGCAGAGCAGCAAATTTCCAGCCAGAGGACGGATCTCTGATGAATTTACGTTACGCATCCCCGTTTTCCCTTATGCATCAGTCTGCAGATCTGGTCTCAGCCTTTGCAGCACTCTGGAAAGCGAAGCAGGGAAGTGGCACGTAGCAGCTCACACCGTGGGGAGGGGAAGCGAGCTGTTGCTTTTCTTAGTTTCTCCTGTTCAGTTATTGAGAGATCAACATCATGGGTTGCCATGGGGGGGAAAGTCAGGGTGTCTATTGAAAATGGCATCATCACTACAATTGTTTCAAGTCCAGAAAAAAACTGCCTCTTTCAGCTTAAACTAGAGACTTTGAATCCCGGTTCCTGCTTGCAGGAGTAAATTGCTTTTGGAAAATCGGTTTTAACATGAGTGTGACATTCTTCTAAGGGCAATTTGTTTTCTGCTGACATGATCAGAAAGAAATCAACATACCCGATACCAAAAAAACCCCCAAACAACCCTGATTTCTAGGATAGATCACATAATTTAATACCAGGGTGGGAGAAGAAATATATTCTCTACTACCCAAGAATTCAAGAATTAATTTGGTTTGCTATGATCTCTTAAAACTGAGTTTAAACTATTTATGTACCAATATGCAGAATCTGTTTGCATGTGCTTAAATACTGAATGCTGCAAAGAGAATACCTGCTTTTTAGTTAAAGTGATTTCTAACACTGAAGCTTCACTAATGAAATATCCCTTCTGTTCATCTTTCCACGCTTCAATGCATGGTGTGCAGGGTCAGTTCTGTGCATGACACCCACTGCAAGCGTTGGTAGGTTTTTCTACACAAACTTCTCAACTTTTCCTAATCTGAAAGAGACAGCAAGTTAGTATGCATCAGTGAGAACCTGGGTGGCTGAGTGGTGTGACTGTCTATCTGCTGTCTTCTTTGAGGCTTAAATGGTTGTATCCCTTTTAATTTCTGTGCAGTGCACTGTTTCGTGTGACTAATAAGAGAACGCAAGATGATGTGTTCCCACCCCTATTTAGTTCCACTGCAGAGACAAAAATTTGTCACTTAAATGTCTTTACAACCCATTTAAGTCATCCAACAAAAGGAAATAGCAATGGGAGGATCCTGTTGGTTTATTTTTTTTTGTATCAGGCATCAGGTGGATTAGAGTTTGGATTTTCGGTTGTCCTTCTGAGGACATTTTAGGAGACTGGTTTAATAAAGGCGCTAAGGAGGAACACATCTGGCATCAACCCCTCTGCCAGAGCAGGGCGCTGCTTGTACAGCAGGAGAAGCAGGGCTTAGGCTGTGGACTGGCTAAAGATTCATCTCTTTAGTGAAGTGTCAGCTGTGCAGGTACAAGGGACTGTAGGGAGGTACTGCTGATGGTGCATATGGGATGCAGTGAGGCGGCAGGGCTGAGTACATGCTCATTGCTGCTGCAGGGATCCAGTATGTTCAGGCTCAGCATCTGGGTCTTAACTGGGAACCTGTGCAGGTCTTTGAGGGACCTTTCCCTCTGTCTACAGCTGCTGGGTAGACAGGTACACAGCAGGGTGGGTGAAAGCTGAGCTTTCATTCTCCAGCCAAGGTTATACAAGACTACTAGCATCCAGGTGTGTGCCTGCTTCAGCCAGAGGGAGAGAGGCGGGAGCCCTGGGGAGGGTGCAGGGCTTTCAGGGAGTAGGTCTGAAAGCTTTGGCAGGAATGGCTAAGCACTCTGCTCTCAAACCTCCCCATCCCTATAGCGCAGGGAGGACACACCGCTTGCATGACGGGGAGCTGAGCCCTTCAAACACACCTCTGCCTGTAGGAAACCCCAACCCACATGCTCCAATGTCCCGTGGCTTTAGCGTGCCCAGCCTGCAAGCACGCACACTCCCCACCAGGGCCGGCCGTGTCTGCTGGGGTGGAGGGGAAGGCAAGTCCGCTTCCCCGTCACATGTTTGCGGGGATGGCCAGGCCTTCCCGCAGGCTCCCCAGCCCCGCAAACCCCCCCTGGGTTTGGGGGATGGCTGTGTGTGCCCCGGAGCATCCCCTCCAGCACCGTGCTCTGCGGCACGCGCAGCTTCAGGAGACTGCCAAGCTCCCTGCTGCTGAGTTGTCCTTTCAGATGCTCTTTCTGCAAATTGTAGCTGTTCAGATGCATTCGTGTATTTTTTCCCTCTCAGCCCCCTCCGCTCTCCACCCCCCACCCCGCAAGAGGGGAGTTTTGCCAAATCCTCTAGCATTAGGGTGGAAAGGAAGCATGCTGAATTTGTACAGAGAGAGCTCGGGCTGCCAGCTGCTCATTTGCCGTGCCTCCAGCTCTGTCCCATGCCGAAACATCGTCCCCGCTAGAGAGAGGCAAGAAAACCCGGTGAAAGGGCTGCGGCAGCCACTGCAAAGTGCCTTATGTACCTCTGGTTGCTGGCGGGGATGGGGCGGGGAGGGAAGGGGACAAGCTTTCCCAGGCGGGCGGGAGGGTGCGCTTGCCAAAATGTCCCCACCCAAAGGAACGTGCACTGGCTGTGTCTAACTCCCCACAGGAGCGAGCTGACGTGGGCTTTTGCTAGCACACCCGCCCTCTCCCCCCTTTGGAAATTTGGCCCTCGGAGTCTAATACATCATTGTTCTGCTTATAAATGTACTAAGTGTTGAGAATGTTTTGGTTTTTTCCTTAATTATAATTGTAATTGGCTTTTCCCCTTCTCTCTTGTTTATTTTTTTTCCCAACGCTGTCTTGCTTTGCACTGTGATTGCATGCTGCGCCCCGATGTGTCCTTCATGACGATGTCACATGGCTTGTTGCTGTGATTCCTGCCACGCCCCCAAATCCACCACATGTTGCCATGGTTACATAAAAAACAAACAAAAAATATATATACGCTCCACCCTCCCGTATGTCGCTTCCATGGTTCCCTTCCGAAAGTGCCCATGATGCACGGTGCTACGCCCACCACTGTGTCTGCAGCAACAACTCCTGCCACCAGCGTCCCCTTCGCTGCAACAGCTACCGCCAATCAGGTTTGGCCCTTTCAATGGCTTTCTTTCACGTGTTCAGATCTCGAGGACTGGGCGAGGGCCGGATCCTGCGTGGGGCCGAGCGCCTTCCCGACCCACTCGGCTCAGCGCAGGCTCGGGCGCGCAGAGGCAGCGTGTGTGTGTGCGTGTGTGTGTGTGTGTGTGTATGTGTCTGGGGATTGGTGAGGGGGCACCGGCCGGTCCTGCCATGTGCGGGATCCCGGGGCGGGAGGGACGGCGGGCCCGGCCGGAGTGTAGGGATGGGCGATTGGCAGGGGTGCAGGCGCTTCTCCAAAAACAGCAACCCCCCGGGTCCTGAAAAACTGGGCTGTAAAACTCCTGACCATGCTGTCGCACAAGACCTGCAGCACTTCTGCTTTCAGTCTCAAGCAGAAATACCACCCCGAGCATCCTTCCCCGTGGTATTTTGGCATGTCCTCTCCTGGCTGGAAAGTGGAAGTGAAAAAACAAAGCGGCCTCCCCCCACTGCAAGATTGGACTCTAAAAACAACCAAAGAAAACCCCAAACCAACCAAAACCCAAAAAATCAGGGGCGAGGCTATGAAGTCTGAAGCTTATTCACGCCAGTAACATCACCCATCCCTACAGAAATGACTCTGGATGTGCAGTATGTGCCGTTGTAGCACTGCCATAAGTGTACAGGATTTCATGCATGTCTGCCGAGCCATAATTCTCTCCAAAACTTTCCTCTGAAGATACTGAGTTGTGATGGCTGCTTCCGCACCAGTCCTGAACTGTATATGCACAACCTGTCCTAGTGATGCTTCCTGATAATTTGGTGTGCCACAACTTTTCCCAGTTAGACCAGAGACATTTCAAACTTCCCCACCCCCCCAGTACTAATTTTAGCATTTTTATTTGTCATGCTCTCAGGTTTAGAGCTATTGCAAAGAAAATGGGGTGTCACTTTGTTCTGTAGGAGGCTGTTAGCCATGCCAAATGTCAGTAATATCTCAGGGGGCATCCTCTAGTCTTCTGCTAGTGCGAGGTCACGAGGCTTTCAGTAGAAGTATTGCCTGCATAAGTCCTAGGCAGTGTTTTACTGCTCGCAGTAGGGATTGCTAGTCTTTTTCTGGGCTTTGTTGTTATTTTCAGGTAGAGCAGGTCTTACTCATACTCGTATTGGTCATGAGAAGAAAGCAGAAATTCCTGTGCAGCGTTGCTCTGTGGCTGTATGAGTCCTGTTTCAGCCAGATAGTTTCAGGGCATTTCTTGTCTTACTTGTGGTCTATGGAGTTAAAATCCCAGTACAATCACCACATACTCCATGAGGCATCAGTAGTGATGCAGCTACCTTGTACTTAATGTGTGGCAAAATAAAGACATATGGGGAATGGATCCTGTTCTATAAGACACTGATGTACTTACTAACCTGATACTGAAGACAGAATGAGCAGCCTGATCTCAAGACAATGTTTTAATGTGTTGTGTTCTTTGTTTTTTTTGCTGTAGATATCCCAGTTATCAGTAGATGAACTGAGTAGCAGCATGTTTGTTTCACAGATGTAGAAGTTCTCGATAGAACAGTAAGTTCCTTTTCGGTATTTCTCTTTATGGTGGATTGCTTTGTACAAGGGCACTGCATCCCCCAAAAGGGGGGCTGGCTTGGGCAGAGGGGCTGAGCCTGTGGGACCCCGGTGACTTCACGCTCTGCCAACTCAACAGAAATTCAGCAGCTGCAGCATAGATACGGAGCAGCCCTGTGGTTTATAACAAGCTATGTTTCCTTGTGTCTCAAATACCTGTTTTACAGTGTTCACAGCCTCCCTTCTTGCATCCCCTGAGTCTGACGGCTGTGTTTACAGGTTACTCTTGCTCTGCACGGCTCCCAGCTGCCTGCAGATGCCTCAGGGATTTGCACTATTGATGGCAAAGGCTGCTCTGATAATGAGTCAGCTGAAAAGGTGTAACTTCTCTATTGCTGTTAGTGGCATATTTCCTTTCCTGGGGTAAGCAGGATTGGGTCATCATCAGCTGCTGTGCATCTGCAAGGCTGGCTTGGTCTGAGCAGAGATCTGCTGTTCAGCTGCAGTGGGGGCCTGGCTCCTGGTGGGTTTCATCAGAGGCCCTTGTATGTGTTTAAGACCAGGATGAATGCCACAAGCAACATATCCTTCACCCTACCTGCAGATCATGGGCTTCCCTAGGCTGCTAGGTTTCTCTGTGTGGGAATGATGGAGGAGTTTGTCCTTTTTTTTGACTTACAGAGTATTATTTCACTGCTGTAGCAGCAGTGTCATTTTTCCATTGCTTTTCTTTGTGAGTGTTAGCTGATGTTCATGAGAGAAAATCCCTTGTGGGTTTCAGTTCATCACCGTATTTTTTTACCCCAAGAGAGTAAAGAGCAGTTCAGCCAATTCAATAAGAGGTCACCAGATTTTCCCAATGCAGGCCATTTAGTATACACAGATATGCAACCCGTTTCTTCCTTAGGTCATGTATTACAGGCAAGTGCTTAAATGCTGGAAATTAATTTGGCAAGCAATTCTCTAATTATATCTCTAGCAATCGACAGAAGTTACTCGTCTTGGTGGTGGCCCTTATCTCTGCTGACTTTATTAAAGTACTCTACGTATAAATGACCCGCTAACTGTGGCCATGGACCTCTGTTCATGTAGGGGTGAACACCAAGCTATCCCTGTTAGTTGAAAATGTGCTACATTACACAGTGTACGGCTCTTCCAAACAAAAGACAGACAGACAGACAGACGTGACACCTGACATGTTAGCCCATTTCCATAACACATGCAAAACAGCCTGTTCCAGTGGAAGGAGATCATTTGCATTGGAAGAGCCTCATTCTTGAACTCTTTGAGATTGTTTTCAGCATTTATTTCAGGAAACTTCTTTTTTGTGAATCCTTTTCACTTTTGTGTGTGTGTGCGTGTGCTTAAACTCACACTGTCAATAGTTAGTGATTTCAGGCTAGGCGAGGACATTCCGTGGGATGTATTTCTTTAGTAAGTAGGGAGCATGGCACAGTCTGTCGAACAAAGCATCGTCCGTGCTGTTAAGGACCGTGAAAAACCTTTGCTTGAAAGAAGTAGGGTCAACATACTGAATTTGATGGGATTTCTTGGGGATCAGGCTACTGGGCATGGAGAGGGTCTGGGTCAGACAAGTCGCCTGTTCTTCACGAGGGCAGCATGAGCACATGCGTGAGCCACCACTCTGCCAGAAGCACTTGTCCTCTTAACACCTCGCAGCTACGGGACATAAACCGCCTTCGGAGGCTGGTACAAAAGGGCTATGTCCCCCAGCATCTCCAGTGCTCACAGACCCACCAGCAGCCATTTGCATGCAGCAGCATGCATATTTTGATCCCATTCCTGGGTTGTTAACCTCTGTGTCTGTGCATAAACTAAAGGTGAGCAAATCTCTCGGGGACACATCGTTTCATGCTACCACCCAAGCATGTGAAATTATGCATGTGCTCAAAAGTTTCGCCAGACAAGGACCTTGGTTGGCACTTTGCAGTGCTGAGGGGCAATTCCCAAAGCTGCCCTGAGCGGGAGTTGGGTAACTGAAATACTTGCTGCTCTGGCAGATGTTTTTCTTTTCCTCCATAGTTGACAAGGTCCTGGTAGCCAGTCTGGCTAGCCTAGCTCTGCAGGAGACAAGTGTTGGGTCCTTCAGGGGAGGATTTTCACGAGTACATCCCAAGAGAGAGGCGATTTGCTCCCAAAAGAGGGTCTCCTGAGCACAGGGTTTCTGTGTCTGTGTTTTGGCTCGTGGCCCTATTCGCCTTTGGCTCGTGGCCCCTTAGGATCAGATTTTAATGTGACTATCTGTGGCGCGCTCTGAAGGAAACAGGGAGCTAGCAGGGGTCAGGGATTCCTTTGGCCCTCTCCTTAGTCACTTTCTACCTGCCATCCTGTCAAAAAATAAGACTATTATTCGCCCCCCTCCCTCTTTCACTAATTGTCTTGTCAGTGTGTGTGAAGCTCACTGGAAATGGAAAGCCCTAAGTGCAGATTAAAGAGGGTGCCAAGTGTGTTATTAGCAATTTCACCCTAGGTCAGAAAATTAAGGGAATAAAATGTTTTCTCTCTGCAACATACTAATGGCAACTTCTTGGGCAGTGCGGTGAGGATGTAAATGTATCTTATTAGAATGACTTTTATTAAAATATAGAGGTATCTCTCTCTAACTTCTCACTCTTTCTTTGTTGTTGTTTTTTCTTTCCCCTGCAGCAGACCATGTTGAAATTCTGAACAGTAAAATTATGGAGCACCAGGACTTCTTGGTGGGAAGCTGCGCATGGCCTTTCTGTATATATCCCCTCTTCCCTCTATCATTCTCTACCACCTCTACAGTAAGCCTGTTGCAGCCTACATGTTAACCAAAAACTGATCAATGGGAATGTCAAAAAAAAAAAAAAAGCACTATAGAAACAATTAACAAACAGCGCTCTGTTATATGAGATATACAAGTAGAAAATTATAATAGACTTTTATAACACATTACTTTAACACACTTAATCATTTTATGACTACCATCCTGATAAGTGCATCTGCACAGCGGACTGTTGGTTTACTGTATACTATCGATGGATAAATGTTTGTCTCGTTTTTAAAGTGTTATCTTACTGTTTTGTTTACATCTTAGTCTATTGATTTGTTTTAAAGTGTACATCATTATCAACTATACTCAATACCATTTTTTCATTATTGTTATGTCTTAAGTTTTCATATACTGTAGGTTTTATGGGTTTTTGTTCGTTTTTTACTAAAAATGTTATTGTGGGAAACAGGAATTATGTGCTTGAAAAACACGACACAGGAATGTTCTGCCCTTTGCTGGATTTTGCTGTTAATGTCAGCTAAAATTGCTTGTGTTAAATGCTCCTTTTATCTTTTAAAATTTGCCTTCAGATAGAGTCTCCAAATTCTTAGTACAAGTGATATGAAAGGACAGCTGTCATTTTAGTCCAGTTCAGGGTATTTCTTTCAATACAATGAGCTGATTCTGGAAACTTTTGGGGAAAAAAACCCACAAAAGCCCAGGCTCAGTAGGGGGACAGGAACGATTTGCTCAGACGATGGTAAGCATCAAGGGATTTCTGCAGTTCTGTTGTCCATTGAAGTGCATTCTCAGCTGCAAACGGCGCACAATCTCTCTTGCTGTTCTCATGGTGCAGTCAAAACAAAAAAAAAAAGGTGGTGAAGTGAGACAGCTTCAGTTGGGCAAAGACTCACTGCGTTGGAGAGGAGTGAATGCCAACCGTTAGCTGGAGTGGGCCCATAGCCATGACTTAGCCCAGGCTGGGTAATACTGTGCCCGGGGGCTTGTCTCCACTAAGCACGCCGAAACATTTTGGCCTGAAATCTTACGTGGCTCTTCTTGAAATTTTGTCAGCACGCACCAATTATTTAATCACCATTTTCCATAAGTGGATGATTTTTTTCCCCATCATCTCTGGCCCTTTAAAGGAAACACAGCAGTAACAAAGCAGGAAAAAGCTCAGCGTAAGCTTTCTACCGTAGATAAACATTCATCTTAATGGAGCTCCTGTAGGTCAGTGGATTTATTTTGGCACCTTCTACTTGATCAAGAGCAATGTTTGCCGCACAACAAGGGCTAGTTCTCAATACCTCCTTTTCATACACACGAATAAAATGATTTCCAGCCCGTGCACCCTGGACAGCCCAGCCTGTTGTTACACTGCGTTAATGAACAATCTGGCTGCAGAATGCATTTTGGTTGAGGATACAGCCAAATTCATCCCTGTCATAGCTCTACAGTATCATTGGCATTATGGAAGAGATGGATTTGCTGCTGTAAATCCACGAACTCCATACAAGGAGAAAGAGAATCGTTATTGAAACGAAGCAAGAGGCCAGCTCCCAGTGTCTGGAGCACTGGCTACCGTGAGCTCACAGTGGTCCTGTAGGGTGCCAAATTCTGACAACCATGTTTTGTTTTCTTTTCCAAGTACCTTGGCCTTGGTAAGAGACTTTCCTTGCCCCGTCTCCTCCAGTGTGAGCACAGATAGTTTGCTAGATGCGTATCTCTACGGACCAGAAGTGATGGAGGGGCATCTAGGGCACAGCCAGTACGTCCCAGAGCAGGCTCTGACCATCTGCCCGTGGAGAATCATTCATAGCAAGAACCTTTGAAGGGCCCAGCTCAAAAAGGCCTTGAGCCAGAAGGAATCTCTCCATTCATTTCAGCAGGCTTTGAACCAAACCCTGAGAAAGGGGAAAAAACATCCCCCCTCCCCTCCCCTCCTTTATGAACCCCGTGTTTTGACAGTCGCTTGTGTCCATAGATGTTCCCCAGCTATCAGTGTTCACAAGCAGCAGCATTGCCTGAAATCAGTGACTCTCATTTATATTGGCGACCGCATACCTGTTCTTTTCACCACTGAGTTTCTGTTTCCCAAAACCATAACATTGTTAGTGGAAAAAGTGGATTTGAGTACTTCCTGTTTGAAATTATTTGTGTATCAAAAATGGGTTTTGCACAACCTGTGCCAGTGCCTCAACAAAGAACAGAGCTGATCTTCTTAAGCCAGAAAGGATGCATTCAAGCTTGTATGGCTTTATGAGTTCAAGGAGGTTGGAATTTTTTCAGTGCTAAATGGATTTTTGTATATCTTGACACTTTGATGTAACCTCCTATTTTATTTATCGACTTAAACATCTGGCATAGATGTGCATAGAATGTAAACCTAGAATACAGCTGTTTTCATGTCACATTTAAAGCACTGAAAAAAAAAAAGTTTAAGGATTATTTTTTATTAAAGAGGTCCAATGAGGGATGTTCAGGGTAGTTATATTAGGTGCCACAACAGTTTTTATATTGCTGGCAAATTTAGAGTTAATTTGTAAATGAGTTTAAGGAAAGAAAAGCTTGAAGCACTAAACTTCACCAAATTCAAAACAATCTCGGCAAAAATGCCATTTTGAGGTAGCACTATTTAAACTAGTTGTGCAATGACTTGCTCTAATTTTCTTTGTTCAAGAAAGAAAAGAAAAAAAAAACCAGTCGCCAGACTATAAATTTCCTAAATAGACTATTACAAAGTCACCGAGCTAGTTAGTGACTCTAAACAAATGTCATAAAAGCATGAATATCATCCTTTATTTGACAAGAGATGTATGTAAGTTTGTTTAAATCGATATAATTTTAGTGACATTTTTATAAGCTTCCCACTTTCCATGAACCTATATTTTTTATTTATCCAAAGTTATTTCTCTTTGTCCATTTCTCTCAGCCTTATGCAAACAATATGCAAGAAATGCTGAAACTTGGATAAAACGGGTCATGCAGAGGGAAAATGAAAGCTGAGATTGATCATTTTCACGAAAAAAGGTTGTTAGTAGTTTCAATAAAAAGTACTACTACTAAACTGTAACATAAGCAGACAATAAAAGAGGGATTTAAAATAAAATGGATTCATAAAACTATTAAGATTATTTTTGTTAAATACAGTGTTTTTAGTAATTTGGAACATGATTTCACAATCAGCCATGTTTTTTAGTTGGAAATTTCTAGCTGATGATTTTTGACTGTGTATTTTTGCATCGCGATGTTCTAGTGAACCGTTACCTCCCTGGCCAGCCCGCGCCGGCCCCCTTCCCGAGCACTCCGAAGCGCTTTGTCTCTCTGCCACCCATCCTTGCCGTCTCGCACCACGCTCG